ATATCCCTCAACTAAGACACATATCCAACCTTTCCATCCCTTTCTTCACCAAATAACATATCATGTGGACTCTAATTAAGCAAATCTAATAACTTTTTTATACTAACAACTCATAAATAATATTATCTTGTTATAAAATTATACATAATCCATGTATAAATACCCGCATAACTTAACTCATTTCATGATAATAATAACAAATAAATAACTGAAAATTATTTATTGCTTTCACATAAGCTTGCGAAACCAATACAAATTGAAAGTAGAAAACATATTTGATTTAACGACCCTGCTAAGTAAGAACATTGAAGAGTGTGTGATATAATGATTACCCAGCTGTCACGATCCGAATTTCTCATCGTCGGGACAGTGGTGGCGCATAGCATCGCACTCGCTAGGCAAGCCAACGTTAGAGTTCTATTCACCTTTTTCATTTAGTTTTTATAGTTAAAATTTGACAAAATTAAATCAACGAAAATAAAAGCGGAAGTACATAATTAACTGATTATTCTTATACTATTAACAAAATCGAAATAGTTACCACCCAGAAACTGGTGCCACAACTCACGAACATTCTAATGAATATCTACAAGTATTGGTCTGAAAGAAAAGTACATCTGTCTTGAAAGAAAATAAAATAGAAATGTAGAGCATAGGAGGGGATGCCAAGGCCTGCGGACGCCTGGAGGACTACCTTGAGTCTCCTAGACGAATGCCTCCAACCGACCTCTCGATCGGCCATAACCAGCTCCAAAATCTGCACAAAAAGTGTAGAGTGCAATATCAGTACAACCGACACATGTACTGGTAAGTGTAGAGCCTAACCTCGACGAGGTAATGACGAGGCTAAGGCGGGGCATTTACAATATATCCTGCATACATTTGATAATAAAGCAAAAGAAAGTACAGAACGAAATAGAATAGTAACTTGCAGTAAAATAAATACGGAACTCAATTATTGCCAATACTCAGCTATAACCAATCCTTAAGAGAGTTACAATGCTACAGAATAAAATCACTGTTGGATTTTGTTTAATAACAAAAGAAGGGTGAATGGAAAATGGTGGGAAAGAAATGAAGGGAAGTGAAATTTTGAATGAGTTCACTAATGCACTTTGTCCCTCATTGGTAGGAAGAAAGAAAGTCTTGGTGTTTATATAGAGAAGCTCATCTTTTAGCTCTTAAAGAGCTAGTAAGAAGGCAAGCCTCGCGTCGTCGCCGTCGTCGTCGCTCGCTCGGCTCGGCTTCGGATTCGGATTTGTCAAAGATTGATTGATTAATCTTTTTGGACAAAATTCTTTTCAAATATTTAATTAAATTAATTAAAGAAAATTCAATCTGAAATAACCAATGACCCGCGACCCAGTCCAGTCCGACCCGCTTTTCTTTCCTGGATTAAGTTAAATTCGTTTTAAATTTCCCGCAAAAAAATTTCAACAGTCATGACTGTTCTGAAAGGTTGCAAACCTCTTCAGAAACATCACCAAGTTGGCTATAAATAGACCTTCAAATCCCAGAATAAAAACTTACGAAATTTTCTAAATCTTCTTCTTCTTCTGCACAAAATATTCCAGTGTGTTTTACGACCATTGAGTGGTTCGCCGATCACCAGAGTTTTAGGTACCGATACACTAGTGAGTTAAATCGTTCTATCCTGGGAGGATATATTCCAAAACCTCGGATACTTGAGGGGAATAATTTCCTTAAGGACACACTGTGTATTAAGTGGGCTCGATTTGTTCCTACAATGTTTTTTTCAGAATTTATTTTGAAGAAGTTTACTGTTTTCGGAATTTAATTTCTACTAACTTTCTGTTTCTGTTTTCAGAAAGATTATTATTTAATATATTTACAGAAATACAGATTTATAACAATCACAACAGAGGAAGAATACATAAATAACAAAATGATGCGGCACTCATCCCGATCCCACCATATAATCAGTAGCACTATGAACATTCATCCTTATTATTCCTTATTGCGGCGTGCAACCCGATCCCACCAGTCCACCCTTATTACTCCTCAATATATCACCCTTATTCCTCATGTTGCGGCGTGCAACCCAATCCCACCTGTCCACCTTTATTATTCCTTGTTGCGGCACGCAACCCGATCCCACCTGACAATCACATTTCACCCTTATTTCTCATGTTGCGACGTGCAACCCGATCCCATCATATCAGTACCAATCACACAATAAGAACAAGTATTTCACAATTTAGCTCAACCCTCCACAACATTTATACCTCAAACCAAACTAAACGGAAATCTATACAATTATGAAATCTCATCAATTATTACTATACAGCGAGACCAACCAAAATGTATCATGAACACCAATAAACTAACTTAAACCAATAATGCAACACAATGAAACTACGGAATAATTAATACCTTCAATAAAGAAAACAACATCTAACAAGAAGCAGTTAGACATGGAAGCATCAATAAGCATGTAGTAGTTAAGACATGAAGACAATATATTAGAAATGGGGAAGGGAACAGGCTAAACAATTAATTTGGCGGCGCATAAGTATTCGTCACCACACCTATACGCCATGCACATGAAATTTAACATAGCAATTAAGTCGGGGATCCCTAATCTCTCGAGTCAAAGTTAGACCAAACATTTACTTCAATCCAACGGCCAATTCAAAGCTCAATTATCGCTTTACCTCTCGATTCCACCTCCAATCCACTCGTATCTAGTCATAATTAACTTAATAATATTAATTATCGCTGAATAAATCAATTCCAATGCATAATTATAGGTTTCCCAACATTTTTCCCAAAAAGTAAAAAACCGACCCCGTGCTCGCTTGGTCAAAATCCGAAATTTGGACCAAAATCTGATTACCCATTCACTCCCGAGCCCGGATATACAATTGATTTTGGAATCTGACCTCAATTTGAGGTCTAAATTTCCAAAATTCGGAATTCCTAAGTTCTCCCCAAAAATCCCCAATTCCACTATGAAAAACCCTAGATTCTAGAATGAAATTTTGTGAAAAGAAGTAAAAGATTGAAAGAAATGAGATAAAAATCATTTATATGTGATTTGGGGAAGAACTCACCTTTGGAAAATCGCCTCTTAGAGTTTAGGTTTTGAAAAATGGGATAATGAATGAAAAATTCCCCTCTAAGTCTAAAATTATCAATTGCAAATATCGCATTTGCGACATGAGCTTCGCAAACGCGAAGGAGCCATCGCAAATGCGAAGCCCTTCAAAGTCCTGTTGTCTTTGCAAATGCGAGGAAAGTGTCGCATTTGCGAACACTGTTCTTCACAAATGCGAGTAAAAGATCGCATTTGTGATCATACCCCTCCCACCCTCCCTTCGCAATTGAGAAGGTTTGTTCGCATTTGTGAACTCTGCCGGCCCAGCCTTCTAATCGCAATTGCGATGAAAGGCTCGCAAATACAGACCTTACAGGGCTCGCAATTGCGATGCCTGATCTCGCAATTTGCGAGATCAGGGACCTGCAACAAGCTGAAGCACACTAGCAATATTCTCTAAGTTCCAAATTACTCCGTAGCATATCCAAAACTCACCCGAGCTCTCGGGGCTCCAAACCAATCATGCACACAAGTCTTAAAACATCATACGAACTTCCTCGCGCGATCAAATCGCCAAAATAACATCTAGAACTACAAATTTAGCACCAAATTGCATGAAATTTTCAAGATAGTTTCAAAACTTCTATTTTCGCAACCCAATGTCCGAATCACGTCAAATAAACTCTGTTTTTCACCAAATTTCACAGACATGACTTAAATATTATATTAAACATGTACCGGGCTCTAGAACTAAAATACGGACCCGATACCAACGAGATCAAACACTAATCAATTTATTCAAATCATTGGATTTTCAGTATTACAATTTTCATCAAAAGTTTATTTCTCGGGTCTGGGACCTCGGAATTCGATTCCGGGCATACTTCCAGGTCCCATATTTTATTACGGACCTACCGGGACCGTCAGAATAAGAGTCCGGGTCCGTTTACCCACAACGTTGATCGAAGTCAACAAAAATGAACTTTATAGGCCAAAAATTGTTATTTCATAAATTTTCCAAATAAAGGCTTTCCGGAATCATGCCCGGACTGCACACGTAAATCGAGAAGAGATAAAATGAGGTTTTTAAGGCCTCGGAACACGGATTTGAATTCTAAAATAGAAGACGACCATTTGGGTCATCACACCAACTCTCTTTATTTAACCAGGACTATAAGAAAAACTCCACTAATCTCTTTAAACTTCATAATAGCTTCAATCAAGACATATATTGAATACTACTTGAGCATTCGTAATTGGAGCAAATCCAAACCCGTTAAATTATTCTTTTAGACACTGTGTTAAGGATATTAACTAGCTTGAAGATTCATATAATACATATTTTTGTATTCTAAATTTAAGTAATGTATTTATAATTGGACCAACAACAACATACTCAGTAATATCCTACACAATTGGACCGTATACAATATATAGGTATATATATAGAGTAATTTGCTAAACATTTGAAAAGGACAATTTCAAAATGTACAATGTTATATAGATTATCTAAATCAAAATATTCTACACTTAACATCCATTTCCTTGTAATTTCATTATGATTCTAACATTTGACATTAACTTATAGTTAGATCTTACTATTAAATATGCAACCAACACGTGAGGGTTTGTCTTCATAAAAACCAATAGCTTTTGTTGTAATAAAATCTCTTTTACTTCTAACTTACTTTATTTATACATAGTTAAAGTTTGAAAATTTTAATTGTGTAAATTTTTTATTATTAAAAGAAAAAACATGAACTCTTTCTATTGCCGTTGCTGCATTAATGTGATCAGAATTGAGAAATTCAAGTTCACACAAAAATCCAGGGGTCTAAACAGCAATTTCCCAAACTTGAGGTGGTTATCAAAACAGAACCAGAAAATTACGCGTGGTTCCATCTATAAATACCCGCCTTACTCATCAAATTAACCCATTTTATGCCCGCTTCGGTGCTCTCGATCTAAAAAATTCCTTAACGACAAAATCCATAACTCAAAAGAACAAATTCAAAAACTGCAAATACTGAATCAATACACAATAAGATTAACGGTGAATTTTGATTATTTAGTGAATTTGCCCAAAATTGAATCGCTTAAACGGAACCCTAATTCTGATGAACTGAATGACTTATTTTTGTTTTTGATTGCAGGGAGAAGAGAATTAAGGCGCTATAATGTCGATAGATTTGGTACTGAAACCGTCGTGTAGCAGGTGCGGCTCCACGTCGGAGTTGTACGGAAGCACCTGCAAGCACTTGACTCTTTGCATGTCTTGTGGTAAAAACATGGCTGAGACTCGTGATAAATGCTACGAGTGTGGCACTCCGATCACACGGCTGATTCGAGTATGTTTCCTCTATTGAACTTGTCATGAGTACTAGAATTTGGGTGAATTTCTATATTTGTCATTACTTTGTTTTGATAATCGAGATGTTAGCTCAACATTTCGAAACTTAATACTAGGCTTTTGTCTTTGGTTGGCTCGAACTCGTGATGTGCACCTAACACACGCATTATGCATAGCGCCCTTACCACTGGACCATAGCCCTGGGGGCTTTTGTGAGTAATTTCTTACAAGTATGGTAATGGAATGAGTCCGTATAAAGAGGAGTGTATCAAGGATTTAGGAAGAGTTACAACGGTCTTTGCTCCACATAAAACTGCATAACATGTGTCTATTCCATAAATTTTGTTTTGCGCATACCTCAACTATTCCATCAGGTACCTGCTACCTCCTACCAAAATAACAGTACCAGTTAACTCACCCACCTAGGCTTAGGCAGATGGGAAGAATCACTTAGTGTTTTTGTCTCCGCTAGGATCTATTACATATAATTTTAGTACTTAGGTATGATTGATTAATGTCTCAATTGTGGTTAGTGCTTCTCATAGAGTTATAGTCTATTTGTTTGGAGCAAAGGCATGGTGTAGGTAGGTTTCTGGTGAGTATTCATATTATGGATCCCCACTAGTTTGGGGGGCATAGTTGATAGATGCTAGTAGTTTCTTTGAGTTTTCACCAAAATTTCGTGGAGAATTTGGTTTTTTTCCTGGGCTCTGAAGCCTTATGTCCTTTGTTCTTTTGAGGCAACTGGTTAGGTGGACATAGGCTAGGTTTCACTTCTGCAAAGATATCAGTGTGTTTGAGTTTGACGGTGCTGATTTGGGAGTGCAATTACAGCAAGTAGATGCTAGAGGTTTCATTGACGTAGTTGAGAGATTCAGAACTTGGTGGATATAGTCACCCAATCTGATTTCCCTTTGCTTCTAAATGATAAATAAAATTGTATGGCAGTCGCAACCAACTTTTAGGCCTTCCGAGAACATTGGATTACTTCGTCACTCAACGATGTGGAGTTACGTGTAAATATTTGGAGATTCGATTATTAAAGGTGATCATTAATCCAAATAGATTGACTCACTTGTTTATTCCATAGGACTCAATTGATAAAAATAAAGCTTCATCTGTTCTTGAATAAAGACAAATTTTTGTTTTCCTTTCCTTTAGACAATGGAGTAAGCGATGGTTGATAGAAGATGATTGATACATATATGATATAGGTAGGTTACATCCGTATACTATCCTCCCCCGTTATCTTCATTTAACCCAAGAACATTATCTTTTCCTCCTTTCTTCCACCAAGATCAAGAGCTTCTGCCACCCTATACTTTCTTCACTACTTTTTTATATTCATCCTTTGCTTCTCTAGTCTTCTGGTTATATTTTTTATCCTTGTTTTCCTGGTTACGTTCTCATTTTCTAAACACAACTATTTGCCATGCCAATATCAACAATTTTGTCTCGAGCTTATATTGATTTAATGCGTGAAGCCGTGAACTAGTTCCTTCTTACTTTTGTTAAGATTATCTGAGACCTGAACAAGGATAGTATAAGAGAAAAATGAGGAATATAAGCACTATTGTATAACCTAGTGCTAAAGCTTGCTTCATTAAGGTACATGTATTGATCTGTAGCATGTGTTTGAGAAGCAAATATTACACCATTCTACTTCTCCAAAATATTCTGTGCTCACCCTGCAGAATGTTTTTGGTTAAGTAAAAGCTGGACCAATTGCACTCTTTTTTGTGCCTTATGTTCAAGAGTTCTGAACGGAAATACCGGATGTAAGCTTTTTCTGTTATGGCACTAGTTTCTCAATTGATGTGTTGGAAAGTTGAATGAAGGGGTCTATTTCTGATTCTTTCATTTTGGATTAGGTAGGTGTTTTGTCTGATATGCTATGATTTTCTGTAATTTTTGTGTAACAGTTCATGTATTCACTTAGAATTGTTCTGGCTTTATTACTATTGATGAAACAACAACAACAACAACAACCCAGTGTAATCCCACTACTGGGGTCTGGAGAGGATAGTGTGTACGCAAACCTTACCCCTACCCTGGAGTAGAGAGGCTGTTTCCGATAGACCCTCGGCATCCTTCCTTCTAAGAACTCCCCACCTTGCTCTTGGGTTGACTCGAACTCACAACCTCTCGGTTGAAAGTGGAGGGTGCTTACCATCAGAGCAATTCAGGTTTAATTGCACGAATGCAATTACTTCACTAGCATGACTGATATTAACTGTGTGAAGGCTTAGGCAGTTAGCAGATATAAGAGGTGAAGTGTGTCAAACAGCCTTAAGTTAGGATGTGCTTGCTGCTGCCTGCTCAATAGAAGTTTTTATTTTTCTGATGCTGAATGGGTTGATTTGCTCTATTTTGTCCAAAATATTTAAGTGAACGTCTTAATCGTGCTAATGATATCAATTAGACTCTTGGTCAGACCACACTTTTGGTAGCTATTGTGGACTGAATTTTTTTTGTCGAAAGCATTCAATTTGTGTCAATTCATGAAAGAATTTGTATGTGATGCATTATTTACTTTACCCATGGTGCAAAATTGGGTATAAAACTGGTTACTGAAACCAACGTTTATGTGCAGGAGTATAATGTTCGGGCTTGCTCCAGCAATGACAAGAATTATTTCATTGCTCGATTTGCTTCAGGCTTACCGAACTTTTCAAAAAAAAAGAATGAGAGTAAATGGACTTTACAAAAAGAAGGTTTGCAAGGACGTCAAGTTACGGATACTTTGCGGGTATGAAATATTTAACAGTATCATCCTCGTTGCATCAGTATACAAATACACACACACAAAAAAAACACATATATATATTATATGTATTTCTCAAGTATAATAATTTGTATCAAGACAATGAACCTTGAGTGATTAGTTGGATTTCAGGTTATGGCGAAGAGTAGTGTAACTACGCTTAGTGTCCACGAAAACCTGTAAATTTACTGGTACATAAATGACCATGAAGTGAGAGCTGGAATAAACTATTCAGATTGACCATATGGAATATAAACTGCTTAGATTGACTGCATGATATAACAAGTTGACCATAGGTTGAACATTAATAATATTCTTGATGGATGTCTTCTGTGAAGAATCAATATTCTCAAGGACTTAATTAATTTATACAACTTTAGGAAAGAAAAATGTGTTTTTGAAGCATCAATTCGAAGTCTTAGGCAAAAAGTCGAACCAAAAGAGAGTAAAAAGAAACCGATCGGTCTCGATTTGGTGATGGTTATGCATACATACAAATCAACGATGAATGAAGCTAACTGAATTCTATGCTGCACGGACTCTCCAAAACCGCTGCCGCACCCCGGTTGGATCCTCCAATAATGCACTACTTTTGGAGGATCTTACACGCACCAATCAACATTTTCGGAGAGTCCAAGCATCACACTGAATTAACCCAGATTGATCGGACTGACCAAATGTGCACCCTAGCAGGCAACTTGAAGCAACTTCTAATGTCTATGGGTGAAATATAGTACTAGGACTTTTGAGCTAGCTATAGAAAATAAATGAGAATTGCAACTGTTATTTGCATTGAATTCTTACCATTGATTTGCGACTTGTTAGAGTGGACTTTTCCTTGATTTTCGAGTTGGTGTCTCGTTTGACTCAATTTCTTCTTCAACGCCATAAATGTTTGGTTTCTTTTTTTAATCATCGAGAATCCTCCAAAACTTGATGGATAATCAACCCACCCCTCTACCCTTCTCCACTCAAATGCCAGACTCACTTCACCAGTTAGAATTCGAACTCTTGACATTTGCCTATATACATTTAGTGTTGTACTATCTTTACTATTGAACCAAATCCCTGGAGCTAGATCGTTGGTTTTCTTTGAAACACTGACACTATGGATCACTTGGATGTTGACTAATTCACTTGGTAGTATTCTCCACGTTTTTGGCACAGTTGGTGGTTCACCACTTCCCGCTTGATGCTGAGGGAGTACTTCGCCCTATTCCGTTGAGCCTTTTATGCAGAAGCATGAGAAATATAATTAGATAGAAGGTTCTTAATTATATTTATCAAAAGGTATCTTTTTTTTTGTGAGCAATGTAATAACTAATAGAGACCACATGCTCCGCGTCTTGGATCATAGATATGCTACTATGGGTGCCTGTTCTACTCTTATAAAATTATGATTTTTGGTGGCAGGGCTCTTTTTTCTCCTATTGAATGATTATGAGTTCATTTACGACCTTTATTTTCTATGAATTGCAGGAAAAGTACAAGAATAAACCGTGGCTATTAGAGGATGAAACCGGTCAATTTCAGTTCCATGGTCAGCTTGAGGGAGCACAGTCTGCACAATATTATCTATTGATGATGCAGGGTGAAGAGTTGGTTGCTATTCCAGCTGGTTCTTGGTACGCATCTTAGTTTTTGTTGTTTCTGTAGCATTGACGCCAAAAGTATTCTGCAGCTTCGTTTAGATTCTGGATCTGCATCTATTCATTTTTTCCGTTGAAATCATTAGGTACAACTTCAACAAAGTTGCCCAATATAAGCAACTTACTCTGGAGGAAGCAGAGGAGAAAATGAAAAATAGAAGGAAAACTGCAGATGGGTACCAGAGATGGATGATGAAAGCAGCAAATAATGGACCTGCTGCCTTCGGTGAAGTAGAAAGATTTGATGACAAGGAAAGTGGATCTGGTGGGACAAGGGGGCGTAAGAAAACTTCTGGTGATGAGGACGAAGGCAACGGTTCGGACCATGGGGATGAAGATGAGGAAGAGGAGGCTGCTAGAAAAAGCAGGTTGGGACTCAACAAAAGAGGCGCTGATGATGATGAAGAGGGTCCTAGAGGGGGTGATCTTGACCTGGATGATGATGATATTGAAAAAGGTCAGTCTTTCTTCTTCCTAGAATGCCTTGCATTGCACATTCGAGATTGCTTCCCAACTATTTAATGATCTATGATATGCATTTTCATTCTTAATGGTTATGTTGGAAAGCCCAATATCATTCCTCCGTCTAGCTATCAGCTAGCATGATAGGGCTCTCCTGGTATTTTCTCTTTTATATCATCATTTTAAATTGTTTGCATCTTTTTCTTGTAAATTAAGTGTCCACGAATTACTGCAGTTCACAAACATCTCTTATCCTTTCCTACTTTTGAGAATAGGAAATGGCTTCTAACAGACTAACGACTGTTATTATTGTTTCACTCTAGAGTGGGACATTGTTCATCTGTGGTTCTGTTTTTCTTTTTCGTTGAGGCTTGGGGGCGCAGATTAGCTTGTGCATTAGGTTGTTCCTTGACCATTTGATCAGCTTTTGTTTTCAANTCAGCTAAGACTAAAAGAAAAGCTAATGGTGATGACTCAAAACCAACCAATGGTGCTCCCTTGAAAAAAGTGAAAACAGAAACGGTACGAAATTACTAACTATAATATTTATTTGCTTTTGGCGTGATATGTCCTTTGCATGGGAATATGATGCTGGCAAGGCATAAGTTTCATAACCACCTGGAAAACCACTTGTGGTCCTTTTAGTCTGAAGAATTTAGGAGAAGGAAGAAACGCCAAGTCGGAAAGTTGATTTGCAGTTACTGTTTATCAGAACTATGATGTTACGACTAACATGTCCATAACCATTTTCTTGATTTTCTAAGGAGGAATTATTTCCTTTCTCCTGTTATATTATTGCTGATCTCCTTCCATTCATATCGTGCAGGATGCCAAACCTGGGAAAGATGAAACTCCGTCTACTGCGAAGAACAGTGTTCTCCCAAAGGGTGCATCACCCTCTTCCAAAACGGCTCCAAGTCCTGCCACAGGTCCTGTTACTGAAGAAGAAATTAGAGCTGTTCTATTGCAGAGAAAACCAGTGACCACACAGGATCTTGTCAGCCAATTTAAATCTCGTTTAAAATGTAAAGAGGTATGACAAGGCTGGTTTATCGAGATAGAATTGTCCATTGTGGCTCACTGACCTATAGCTGATGCATCTGATCCTCTTCATATTTGAGTTGATTTTGTATATAAGCATCCCAAAAATGTAAAGCACAACTAGATGTCCTCAGCATAGCTGCATGTCAGCCAAGTTTCGGAACTCCTTTTACTTGTGATATTGTAGGTTCCTCCCTCCCTTACGTGACCACATTAATTATATTGGTGCAGGATAAGGCTGCTTTTGCTGATGTATTGAGGAAGATCTCCAAGATACAGAAGACCGGTACAGGAACGAGCTATGTTGTGTTACGAGAGAGGTGAATGTTCGTTTTATGTCCATATTTTTTCTTGTTACCAACTCTATTGCGTTGCAGTCTTAAGTTGTATTATGTAAACCTTTTTTTTCTCCTCTGTATTTGACACAGGACAAATCAATAGGACGAACCAAGATATCACTGGCTACATATTGGTGGAGATTGGAAGAATCTAAGGCGTTGGAAAAGAAACTGAACTTTTTGTCTTGTTGGACGTTCAAAACCTTGTACGGTGAGCAAGCTTTGCTTTGTTTGTAATAGTCTCAAATGATCTTCGTATTGTAATAGACAAATGACCAAAAATGGGCAATAATTCTGTGCAAAGGGTTGGATAAACTCGTAGATGGATTTGTTCCTCACAGAAATTGCAATGTGAAACAAGATTAGTATATCCAGTATCTTTTTTTACATCAGTCTAGTTTAATTGCATCTCATGTATCATATTTTGCGAGTAATGGTTGTTGTACGTTAGATAATGTCTCAACTATTTGAGTTTTAAGCAATTCCATACCGCAATTCGATTTTGCAAGTAATAGTGACAGCTTAAATGTAACAATTCAGATTGACAAGCAATAGTGACAACATAATAAACGTCTAAGAGGACAGAACAAAATCTTTAATATTAATGTGTGTAATGCAACTAATTCGTGGGCGAGCCGTTAGCATACTGGGTAGAATTATAGGAGATCAGGGTTTAAATTTTAATAGAGTTATCACGTAGACGTACCAGAGGATCACATAATGTTAAAGGTTGACATTACGATTAGTTAATAATTACATAAAAATCAAGTAATCGTAATATCAAGGTTCTTAGCTTGTTAATACGTCTCGTCAGTTGCCAGGTACTACAAAATTGAAATTCCTTTTAATTTCAATCATCCCGTAGATGATATTGCAATGGCATTAAAACGACATACCCAATGTATTCCGACAAGGGGAGTCTAAGGCTGGTAGTGTATACATAAACCTTATTGTTACTTTGTGCAAGTAGAGATGTTATTTCTGATAGTTCCCAGGCTCAGGCAAGCACAAACCTGATAGTAAAGCATATTGAAATATAAAACATGGAAAAACAATACAACTAGATAGTAACAAATCAAAGGAGAAACAACATCAAGTAATAGTAGAAATCCAAGCATAAGACAAAACAAGAATAATACTAAAGCTAGAAAGGAAGAACACACTATTACTACTACTCTTCTACCTTAATCCTCGACGTTCACAACCTTCTATAAAGGGTCATGTTCTTAGTCAGCTAAAGAAGTGTCACGTCCTGCCTAATACTTCTCCCCAATACGTCTTTGGTCTTACTCTACCTTTCTGCAGGCCCACCATATTCAACCTCTCACACCTCCTCACAGTGTATGACCACCTCCTCATCACATGTCTGCATTATTCCAACCTCACTTCCCGTATCTTATCCTTCACCTAGTGCCGAATATCTTCATTCCTGACCCTATCTATTCTAGTAAATGCTCAAACATCCATCTCAGCATCATTATCTCCGTTACTTTCATCTTCTGGACATGTTCTTGATTGGCCAACTCCGCCCTATACAGCATAGTCAGTCTAACTACCACTTCGTAGAATTTACCTTTAAGTCTTGCTAGCACATTCTTATTACACAAGACACCTGAAGCAAGATTCTATTTCATCCACTCTGCTCCAATATTGTGTGTGATATCCTCGTCAATCTCCCATTTACCTTGGATTATTGACCCAAGATACTTGAAACTCTCCCTCTTGGGGATGACTTGTGTGATATCCTTACTTCCACTTCAGCTTCATGAGTTACGATACTCAACTTGCACTCCATTTATTAGGTTTTAGTCATGCTCATCTTGAAACCTTAAATTCCGGTGTCTGTCCCCATATCTCCAGCCTAACATTAACTCTGCCTCGTATTTCATCAACCAGTCATCCGAAAATAACATGATCTGAACCTCCCCTTGAATGTGCCACGCCAGTATATCCATCACCAAGGCAAATAAGAACGGGCTAAGAGCTGAATCCCGGTGCAACCCCATAATGACTGAAAAGTGTCCCGAGTCTCCTTCCACTGCCCTTGCCCCGGTCTTAGCTCTATCATACATATTCTTAAGCATCCTAATGTAAGCCACAAGAATACCTCCAGCCTCCAAACACCTCCATAGAACTTCCCTTAGGACTTTATCGTACGCCTTTTTCCAGATCAATGAACACCATATGCAAGTCGCTCTTCATTTCCAGATCAATGAACACCATTTGGTAGGAACATTGATGCAGGATAAGGCTGCTTTTGCTGATGTATTGAGGAAGATCTCCAAGATACAGAAGATTGGTACAGGAACGAGCTATGTTACATAATGTTACGAGAGAGGTGAATGTCCATTTTAATTTTTGGGTGTGTTTGGTACGAAGGAAAATATTTTCCAATTTTCCCATGTTTGGTTGACTAAAATGTTTCGGAAAATATTTTCCTCATGAGGAAAATGTTTTCCAAAACTTTTTTTCAACCTTTAATTGGAGGAAAATGAGTTCANCTTCCATCCGCCCCAACCTCGCCCACCACCCACTCTAAATAGAATTATTAGTAAGAGCACTTTCTTTTCATGTTGTAGATTAGAGTACTTTTTTATTTCAACAAAATGAGTATATTTTTTTATGATGTAGTAAAAGTATTTTCTTTCATTTCAGCAAAACGAGTACTTTCTTTTCATGAAATAGAAAAAGTATATTTTTGCAACAAAATGAATATTTTCTTTTCATGATGTATAAAAAGTATTTTCTTTCATTTCTACAAACTAAATATTTTCTTTTCTTGAAATAAAAAAAGTATTTTGTTTCAACAAAATAAGTAATTTCTTTTCATGTTGTAGAAAAAATACTTTCTTTTTCAGCAAAATAAAGTATTTTATTTTTAGTTATCGAGCTCAAATTTTAATGTTATTTGTGTGAAAAAGTAAAGTAGCACATAAGTTCCTTTGGGTTTGTGTGAATTTGAAAAGAATAATTAAATTCTTGAAGAAAATAGAGTCATGGGAGGAGTACATGAAACATGGAAATTTTAGGCAAGGTGGGTTGAGGACACGGGCAGAAGTAAGCCAGGGGTAGGGGGTCGAATCCGTTGACCTCGGCAAAATTACTAAATATATATTGTATGTATGTAGATATATATCATCAAGGGAGACTTAAATATTTTACTAGTGCCTCCAAAATCTCAGAAGGCCCCGTGGTAGAGTTGGTTGAGTGCTCCATCTTAAAAGGGGAACTGGGACTCGTTCGGGACTCGCCCTGGGGCGGGGCACTCGTAAAACGTCTCTGGGCTTATGTGTGAGGCTTAGTTCCGTGAGACTTACCCCTTGACCGTCAGGGCTTACGCCCCAGACATGCCCAACGTCCAGCGTACTGGGCTCGCCTAATAGATCCGTGGGACTTACGCCCCATATCTCAGGACTTATGCCTCATCTCATCAGAGGTAAAACGTCTTGTCTCATGCCCCGCCTTTTAACATTGATTGAGTGTAGTGCTGAAGCTGCCTGCCCCTCCTTGTTGTTTTGGGATTGAGCACCAACTTTCACTTTTTTAGGTTTTCCTTTCCTTTACTGATTTCAAAGATGACTTTACTTAGTAGTCAATTGATTTTCTTTTAATTTTATCTTTTTAAAATTCAATTATCATTTAATACTTGTACATAATATACAACTTAATTAATGTTATTCTTTTTTAACTCTCTCCCTCAAAATCAAAAGCTCCAAACTCCTATCTCTGCAAATAAAAAAAATTACAAACCCTTCTCTCTCTGTTCAACAATCATTTTGATAAAGTAGCCACATCTATCGATTCCAGCAACGACGACTGAGAATTTGTACTTTGTTGATAAGTTATCATAATCGTTGAACTTTTAGAGAGTTGCACGCCGAAATTTGTCGCTAGTAATTGGCATATTTAAAGACAGAGTACCCCCGTTGCACTAAAATCCTGGGCCCCCCTCTGATTGAGGAGAGTAGCATAAAAAATTATTTTCCTAAAAATATTTTATAATCTCTGACCAAACACTAGAAAATATTTTTCGGAAATAGTTTTTCACTCACTAATCAAATAATTCCAAGAAAACATTTTTTAGGAAAACAATTTCCGTGAAAAACATTTCCTTTCATATCAAACACACCCTTTATGTCCATGTTTTTTCCCACGTTGTGACGTTGCAGTCTTAAGTTCGTATCATGTAACTCTTTTTGTTTCTCCTCTGTATTTTTATCCCAGGACAAATCAATAGGACAAACCAAGATTTATTGGCTACATATTGGTGGAGATTGGGAGAATATTGTAAGGGGTTGGGACAATAGTATAATTATGACAAATCTAGGAATGGTCTTGAGGAAAGTGAAATTAAATAACAAAAAAAAAAAAAGAATCAAATAATCGGTCAAAACTACTTAATTTGTAGCTGAGGTATAGTAATTAATTGAATTGGGAATAAACAAAATATTCTTTCGACGTACCTATATTTTATTATGTCGAAAGCAATTCATTGTTTTTATTTCATCGTAGAAAGATTATGTCGAAAGCCAATATAATATCATTCCGTATTGGCTTAATGATGAGCAGTGGCTGAGGCAAAATTTTCACGGGTTCAAAAAAGAAAAGGTTAAAAGGGATTATGGCCAATGAAAATTAAACCAACAATCTCGGAAAAGTTTTGAACCCTCTTGATCACTAAACTATTTGATATGATCCTTTTAGCTCTTTTAACTTTCTTTCCGGATTTGGTTGTATACTTAGTCGATTAGTTAGTGAATTAGTAAGAGTTAGTGTTTAGTCGGTCAATTAGTTAGAAGGTCGTTGGTAGTTGGTCAAGGCAGGTGCTGGGCACGTGAGTCAGGAAAGTTTTTATAACTAACTTTCCCGCTCAAGCATAAGGGTGTCTAACGGGCCAGGTCCGCCCGTTTCCGGACCGACCTAGACCGGTCAAAACCGGCCCCGGCCCGGATCGGTACAAGGGGGCCGGATGGGGCTGGGTTAAAGGGGTAGGGGGTTTGGTCCGTTCATGTTTTGACAACCGGTTAATCGGACCGGTCAAACCCGGTTAATGCAAATCATTGTTCATCCGGTTAACCGGCCCAGACCGGTATAACGGTAACTAATTTTTTTTTCTTGTGGGCCTAAATCTGACCGTTGGCAACGGTCCATTTCCCATTATTGATGTTGTCATACCTCCTTTTTTCTACACACCCCGTAAATGGAGTATAAGAGAGTTTTTTTCAACTTAAAGTGACAATCGAAACGGGATTATTTTTATTAAATTCAGAGTCGCCACTTCAAGTGATAATTTATGGTGTCCCAAGTCATCGGTTCAAATCTCGAATCGAGGAAAAGATTGACTCTGTATTACAGTCCGCGAACACAGAAATCGGGGTAAGGAATTCTGTTA